CGGATCCCTTGCCGAACTATTTCATGACCATACGGTCGGATCGAGGTATGAGATCGAGGTTGGTTCGGGGAGGGTACCCCAATGTGTTTTCGTTGGAGGTTTTGATTATCCTGGGGCTGAGCACCCTCGAATGTTATTATTTTCGGATGGCGGAGGGTCTTCTGTTCTTGAAGGACAGTACTATGTCTAGGAGTTCGGTGGCTATGTCAACATGCGGGCATGAACAACCGAACGGTGCGTCACGCCGTTTCCTCTGCTTCATCTCTGCCCTTCGCTATCTGCTCAATATCCTCGCTAATGTGCGCTAATGCTTCGTCCGTATGCGGTATTGCCTCACCAATCTGCGCCATTACCGCCCCTGGCGGGGACATGGCAAGTCTCCATGTCATCCTCAGTTGCCAAGCTAGTCAAGCTGGTTCTGGAGCTGCGACCGCAGCAACAGGTATATACCGATCACGATAGCGTTGTCGAGTCGGGAAACACAGTAACCAGAATAGTTCCAAGACGGCCCCCAAGAGGCACCCCCAAGACGACCTTCAGGGCCCAGCGGCCCCAAAAGCCTCCGACAGGTGGCCCAACGGGCTCGGTGGAGGGGATTGTGAGCAATCCCCGCGGGAGCAGCGCGAGAAACGACCAGGTCGAGGTGGCTTCGGCAAGCTCCGAAAGTACCCCGCAGCCCTGAGAGGGGGGGGAGTCGAGAAACCAAAACTGGGCCTCCAAAATGGGATCCGAGTAGATGGTCTCGGAGGATCTCGCCGCATCGCCGATGCATCGGCGATGCGGCTCATTGTGGAGCTCGGCTTTCTCCACGCCGTTGGCGCCGGTGCATCGGCGATGCATTGGCGATCCGCCGACCGAATATACTCCGGCCCCAACTTTGAGGCTTCTATTCGAGTTGCCAAAAAAGGGAAACGCATCAAAGTGAGGGGGCCGAGGGGTTATTCATTGCTCTTGGGCGCGTGGCAAAAGTGAGTTTCGGCGGCGTGAATTAACATTGATGGTGTTGTTGCTGTTGGTGATGCTGTTTATGCTGGTGTTGGTGTTGCTGCTGCTGCTGTTGTTGGTGTTGGTGCTTGTGGTGGTGTTGTTGGTGGTGTTGAACTTGTGTTTCTGATTCGTCTTATTCGTGATGTTGTCGTTGGTGGTGTTGTTGTTGTGGTTGTTGGTGTAGCTGCTGCGGTTGTTGTTGTTGTTGTGGTTGTTGTTGTTGTTGTTGTGGTTGTGGTTGTGGTTATGGTTGTGGTTGTTGTTGGTGTTGTTGTTGTTGTTGTTGATGGTGTTGTTGTTGTTGTTGTTGTTGCTGTTGTTGTTGTTGTTGTTGTTGTTGTTGTTGTTGAGTTGATTCGTGTTGTTGCTGTGGTTGTTGTTGCTGTCGTTGTGTTCGTTGTTGTTGATGTTGTCGTTGGTGTTGTCATTGTTGTTGTTGCTGCTATTGGTGCAATTGTTGTCGTTGCTGCTGTTGAAGTCTGATTCACTGGCTGACGCCGCACCGCCGACCGCTTGGGGCGGCAGTAAGAGTGAACAACGGAGTTTGCGGAACGCGGGCGATTTCCAGGGAATCTTTGGTTTTCAGTTTCATCGGATTCGTCTAGGATGGTTGGCGGGTCGCAGCTCTGCCACTGGGCTTCCCTGGGCAGCACTTTTGAGGCCTTTTGCGAGCCGTGTTGAGGCCTCCAGGGGCCTCTTTTGGGAATCTCGTGGGCCTCGTGGGAGCCTCTTGGGGGCCTCTTGGTGCCTCCTCAGATTTTTTCTGGGCCGAGGGCTCGACATGTCCATTCCAGTTCCCCCTCTGGGCCTCCTTGTGGGGCCGTCCTGGGTCCCTCCTGGGCCGTTTTGGAGGCTTCTGATGCTGTCTTGGGGCCCTTTTGGGTCGTCTTGGAGCCCTTTTGGTGCCTATTTTGGCAATTTGGGGTCGATATTGACGGCCTCTTGTGCCGTTGTGGGCCTCGTGAAAGCCCAAGAGGCGACCGTGCTAAACATATACGGTTTTCCATCCGGAATGGGACGATCGTTGATTCTAGAGGGCCTCTTGGGACGCCTGTTGGTGGCTTCTTGTGGCGTCTTGAGGGCCTCCTGGGGCCGTCTGGAGGCGATCTTGGGCGTCTTGGAGCGATCTTTCGGCGACTCGTAGCTGATGTCTTTGTTTTGTTTTTCTTTTTTCACATCAAGAAGATTTTTGTTCATCCCACCTTCCGGGTCACATTGCGTTTTTTTCCAATTGAAGTGCCCTTCCCGGGCTCGCACCCTTTTTTTTTATCAGGCAAGGTCTTGGGTCTCATAATTGTGTTGTTGGCCCCAGGTTTACAACAGCAGCGGCTCCCGCTTGATACCTCTTTCATGATGTATTCCTAAATCGCGCTCTCGCGCGGGACTTCCTCACAATGTATCAAGAAGTCGCGCTCTCGCGTGGGACGCCCTCGCAATTTATTCAGACGCCGCACCCTCGACGTTTAGGAGTCACAATCTCGCTGTGCATTTTCCCACGATTTGTTTGGGAATCGAGCTGTCGCTCGAGACCCTGCGGTTCATGCAGGACGCACGCTTCAGCAACCCGCCTGTTCGACCTGGTCGCCTGGGCCCTCCTTCCGTCCCGCCTAGCAAGGTCTACGCGCCCGATCTGCCCGGCTGGTTCTGCCATGTGTTTTCTGTTTCTAGCCCCATCTCCTGCTACTCTCTCTCATGCTCAATTATTCTCCCTCCCCCTTGTCCCTTCCTTCTATTCGTCCTCTCTTCCCTTGACTGAGGGTCTGCACGAAATACACATTGCAGATAAGAATGATATACCCCCAAGTGGGTACGGTCGAAGACGGAGAGGGCGGGGTTTGGGATATACGTAGTGAATTGCACGCGAGCAGATATGAGCGCACAGTCTTAAACGTGTTGTTGTTGGTGTTGTTGACCTCTCACTACTCAACAATAATTATTGTTGATCCCCCCTCCGGTGACCACTATGTGGATTCAATTGAAGTGCTTCCCCTGGGGCTCGCAACCTTTTTTATCAGGGAAAGTATCGTGGCTCAAACTGGGTTGTTGGCCCCTGGTTTACAGCAACAACGGCTCCCACCTGATACTTCCTCACGATGTATTCCTAAATCGCGCTCTCGCGGGGGACTTCCTCACAATTTGTATCAAGAAGTCGCGCTGTCGCGTGGGACGCCCTCGCAATTTATTCAGACGATGCGCCCTCGGCGCTCAGGAATCACGTTCTCGCTGTAGCTTTTCTCACGATTTACTTGGGAATCGCGCTATCGCTCGAGGCTTCCTCGCGATTCATGCAGGACCCACGCTTCAGCAACCCGGCTGCTCGACCTGGTCGCCTGGGCCCGTTTTCCCGACCTGCCCGCTATGGGTCTGCCCACCCGGTCTGCCCATGTGGTTCTACCACTTGTGTTCTGCTCCTTGCCCCCCTCCTGCTAATGTCTCTCGTGCTCCATTCTTCTCCCTCCCCCTTGCCACCCGTCTTCTCCTCCCCTGTTTTAGGGCCTGCACTGAATGCACGTGAGAGGTAAGGAAGGTATACCCCCAAGGGGGTACGATCGAAGACGACAACGAGGGGTACCGAGGGCCTGGGATGTACGAACTGATTGGAACGTGAGCAGATAAGAGCGAACAGTCTTAACATGATTGTTATTGGTGTTGTTGCAGCTTGTTGTTTGTTGTGTCTTGTTTGTTGTCGTCGTCCGCCCCGCGACCTGGCCCGCGTCCCACCCGTCACCCGCCCGCGACCCACCTGCGAGCCACCCCGCGACCCGCCCGCAACCCACTCGCGACCCACCCGCGATCCACATGCGACCCACGCGCGGCCCACCTGCGACCCAGCCCGCGACCCACGCGCGGCCCACCCGCCATCCACACGCGACCCACCCGCGAACTACCTTCATTGCTTAATCGAACAAACCGGTGTATGCGGCGAACTCGTTGTATGATTGTAAACATTCGGCGCCTGCAGCGGGCTTCTTCAGAGCCTCGCACACATCTGAAGTTCCTGCCGCCCCCTCACTGCATTCGCAACTGCGGGGTGCCACGTGATTCTTCGGAGGTCCGCGCGGATGTCTTGGATCGGCGCTGGAGCGCCTTGGGCGGCGCTTTGTGTTTATGCAGATTTGTGTTGCTCTGGCGGCGTCTGCGGCCCTCGGGAGTTGCAGAAGTACTTCATGCCGAGGATGATGATGATGCTGATGATGAAGATGAGGAGGAGGGGAGGAGAGAGGAGGAGGAGGAGGAGGAGGGGAGGAGGAGGGGGGTGAGGAGGAGGGGGGAGGAAGCAGGAGGAGGAGGAGGAGGAGGAGTGAGGAGGAGGAAGGAGGAGGAGGAGGAAGAGGTCCTCGTGTTGGACATTCCACCAGCAGGCACCGTGGCGGATAGGGGGATCATCTTTCGGCGGCGCGCTCAGGGTTGAAGGGAGGGGGAGGAGGAGGAGCAGGAGGAGGAGGAGGAATAGGAAGAGGAAGAGGAGGAGGAGGAGGAGGAGGAGGAGGAGGAGGAGGAGGAGAGGGGGCGGGCTTTCCCAGAAGGCTCAGAAGGCCTCTGGTCTTCCGAGAAGCGTTCTGTGCGTTCTCCGAAGCCACGGGGGGCTTCTCGGAAGGCCGAAGGGCTTCTGAGAAGCCCCGCCGCCTTTTGAGAAGGCTTGCCCCATCCCACCTCCCCTTCGGCACCCCGCCAAGACATGAAGGGCAATCGTGGACCTGAGCGCAATCCCTGAACAGGCACGGAGGCGGATGTGGGGGGATCATCTCACCCTCCCAGTGGCCCCCGAGGGGGCCAGCGGGTTTCGGGTTCGAGGAAGAGGCCGCCGCGAAGCTTCGCAAGATGTGTTACGTGTGGCCCGATGGCGAGAAGGTCTCTTTCGAGCAGCACTCGCTCCGGTGGCTGAGCAAGGCGTTTGCCGCCTACGGCCCGCCGGGGCCTGTGACGGATATTGTGAACCTGGCGTTCGGCATGATGTCGAATGACACGCCGCGCACCGCCGGGACCACCGAGGTCGGGGGCATACGTGAGGGGGGAATACGCTCAGGGGTGGATGCATCGACCCCCAATAGCACGGCCATCGCTGAACGGGACCCGATAGCCCGCCCCGCCCGGTAACGAGGTCGAAGAACAGTGAGCCTGTATAGATGCAAGATAGAGGATCGAAGCTCCGCGCGGATGTGTTGGGTCGACGGTTGAGAGATCCCCCTGGCGGTGCCTCCAGCGCCGTTCCTGGCGCGTTCCACGCGCCGTGGAGGGGGGCCCAGCATCGATCTCAGAAGCCCGCGCGGCTCTCCGACAGTTTGTATTTATGCATGTGCTGCTCCCTCTGTGAGGGGACTGTGGTGGACATGGTCCTCAAGCTCGGCCAGAAGATCATGTCCAGGGACTTCCGCGACCTGTGGATCCCCACCCACTTCGCCATGGACGCCGAGACCGACGACTCCCTCTGCTGGCTGCTCCTCGAGTACATCCACAGGGTCCGCGGCTCCAAGCTGAACCTGATGATACAGCTGCCCACGGACCCCGTGGTGGATGGGTTGGCGACCGACTTTGCGAAGGCTCGGGGCTCCGCCCTCCTTGTCGCCCTTCACACCCCCACTGCTCCCCCAGATCGTTGAGGAGGAGGAGGAGCAGGAGAAGGAGGAGGAGCAGGATGAGGAGGAGGAGGATGAGGAGGAGGAGGAGGCAGAGGAGGAGGAGGAGGAGGTGGAGGAGGAGGATGAGCCTCATCCGCGCCCTCCCCTTCCAAAACCCTCCATCTTCCCAAGACCCCAGGCCTCCTGTCTCCCTCGTTCGTGCCCCCCATATACACGAGGGGGGGGTACGTTGACAAGCCCTGATTGAAGCGTAGCTCCTTGGACTTGCGAGGCATCGCCGAGGCCCTCATCGATTCTCGAGGGCATCGGCGAGGCATCGGCGATGCGTCGGCGACCACACCTGGGCGGACCCCATTTCGGAGGTCTCAACAGGCTGGCTGGACAGGGGCTTTGGGGGGGCCATCTTAGGCCATCGTGCAGCTTTTCGACGGCATCTCGGGCCTTCTGGGGCCATGTTTGGCAATTTCGGGGGTATCTGAGAACTTGTGGAGCCAACATTGAGGGCGTCGTGGGGCCATCTTGGGGCCTTTCCGGCGTCCTGTGCGATTCGGTGTGCCGTCTGGGGCTCTGGGTGTTGCCCCAGGCTGGCTCTGGGCCACCTCGGGCGATCCAGGAGCTCGAAGCGTGGGATGGACTTTTTTCTTTGATCTGCGGGTCGAGAGCGCACCTCCTCCGGTCGAAGCCACGCGGGCCGCGCACAGCTTGAATCAAAGAGAGGGGGGGGCAGAAGGAGGGGCCTCGCATCAGGGCCAGGAGGGGGCAAAGCCCCAGAATCGGGCGGTGCCGAGGATGAGGTGCTTGCAAAGGAACGTCTTGGACAGGAAGAGCATAGGATAGACAAGCCACGGTTGAAATCACCAGCGCTTCCCGGTGCATTGGCATCGCTCGGACGTGTGCATTTTTCTTTCGGCGAGGACCATCGAGGAGCATCCTTGACCATTCGGCGAAAAACCACGCACGAAACCAACAAAAACACAGGGAATGGACGTCCGAGCGATGGCCACGGTTGAAATCACCGGCGCTTCCCGGTGCTTGCTGTCTTCTCGGGGGGCACGGGGAGACGTCTTCGGGCGCCTCGGCCCACGGAGCCCTCCCCGGGGCTCCGTGGCGCCGCCTTTCGCCTCTCGGGCCCTCCTGGCGGCGCGGCAGCGTCGCATGGAAGCCCGGGGGCAAACCACCCGCTCCCGTCCACCCCCACACACACACACAAACTCACACGCAGCAAGCATCAAGCCGGGCCTGTCCCTCTGCAGGGGGAAGGTTCAAAAGTAATCAAAAAATAGTTTGGGGGCGATTTTTCCGTATGTTTGACCATTTGGGAGTAATTTTTGGGGAACAAGAAGTGGCATAAACATACAAACTCGGAGGTCCGCGCGGATTTCTCGGATCCGCGCTGGACCCCCCTTCCCTGGCGCGCGGAGCGCGCCAGGGAAGGGGGGTCCAGCGAACCTCCGCGTTACTCTGTTCGTGTCATTGTTCGTTCCCCTAAAACCAGGCCTTCCCGCCCCCTTCCCCCCCCCCACACGCAGCAAGCACGATGAGGGCAGGAAGTCTTGGAGCGACAAGGGACGAAAGAAAGCACAGCAGACACAGCGCAGCAGTCCAGCGGCAGATGTTACAGTCTTGCGCCCCGAGGGGGGACTGGCGGATGCTGGTGCAGGATGCCGACGAGGGATGCGGACGAGGATGATTGGAGAGAGGGGGGAGGAGGGCCGAGGAGGAGGAGGAGGAGAAGTTGCGAGGATGCGGAGAAAGAGGATGGCGATGAGTGACGAAATGTTGACAGAAGTGAGGGATGGAGGGGGGGAGGGGAAGGGGGAGGATGGCCGAGGAGGCGGAGGATGTCGTAGGGCTAGGGCCTCCCAACAGGCTGGAATCGGCAAGATACTTCGAGACCCAGATTCTGCCAACGCCAACGCGATCAAGAAGTATTGGGCTCTCTGAAGATTGTGCGCAGTGGGCTGGCGAGGGGGGAGCAGGTGGGACGGCGAGCAGAAGGATGAGGGAACGCGACGGACAATGAGAGAAGGAAGGAAGAGGGGGCGGCAGAGAAGGAGGAGTCGGAAGCCTAGAGGGCAGCACCGACACCAGCATCGGTGGCGTGCCTCTACCGAGGGAGGGTGATCCCGACCTCGGCGATGCTGGTAACACTCGGGCTTCCTAAGTGGTCGAGATAGTACCAGTAACACAGACAAATCTGAGATCATCTTACCCCGGTGGCCCGGTTGAGGCAACCTCGTGTGTTGGACGGGTGTTGCGTCACGGGGGCGGTAGATGGGGGGGCGAAGAAGGCGCACCCAGTGTGCATTCGACGGGCCTGAAAGGGGCCCCCCGGGCTCCAAAAAGGGCACGAAGGCCAAACGCTCCTCCCCCCCAGCAAGCAGCGCCCAAGTTCTTGTAGTTGCCCATTTCCAGGCCGCAAAGACAGATGGCGTAACGGGACGACGGAGAGGAGAATGGGGGAGCGGCGGGGCGGGGAGCGCGCGGCGGCGCGGCGAGGCGCGCGGGGGTGAGCGTGCGGGCCAGAAGCGAGGCACGAGATAAGCGGATGAGGGGGAGGAGGAGACCGAAGTGAGGTGAGGAGGAGGAATATGGGAAGAGGGTGGAGGAGGAGGAGGAGCAGCAGGAGGAGGAGGAGGAAGAGGAGGAGGAGTTTATCACCAAAGCGAGTGTCGACCTCTACCTGGCGGGCGCATACTCGCTTTTCTTGTTTTTTCCCGGGTGTTGGTTCCCTCATTTTCCGCGGCGCCCGCCAGGTACAATGCCCCGAGTCGGTTTCATTTTTGTTCTCGCACATGCAAGAACGCGACAGGCTAGTTCCTCACGTTAGTTTAACGTACAAAGGAGGAGGACAAAGAGGAGGAGGAGGAAGAGGTGGAGGAGGAGGACGACGACGAGGAGGAGACCAAAGAGAAGTGAGGAGGAGTTGCAAGGAGGCAGTGTGGAAGAGACAGGAGGGGAAATGGACGAAAAGGAGGATAAGGATGATGATGATGATGATGAGGAGGAGGAGGAGAAGGAGGAGGAGGAGGAGGCGGTGGAGGCAATGGAGGAGGAGGAGGGTGAAGGCGGAGGGGGAGTAGGAGACCGAAGTGAAGTTCGGAGGAGTAGGAGGAGGAGGAAGAGGAGGAGGGGGACAGGTTTCATTGCGATGCCGTCGGCTCGTGTCGATTCGAATTCGTTCGTTTCCGTTTTCGATTCGGTTCGAGTTTGGACTTCGGTTTGAGTTTGGGCGTCTTAGTCGAGGCCTTACTAACATGCCGATTTCTTTCGATTTCGACTTCTACCGGCTCGGCTGCCGATTTTCGCCGTTCGGACTCATGTCGATAGCTGGTTCGCATTATCTTGGGATGGAGAGGGGAATAGGGACAAACGATGTGCATTGCGCCATCTGACATCCTACCTTTCCCACCCATCCCTCCCCAGTGCGTCGATGTTGTGTCTATTCGCCGGCGGGTGTGAATCCTCAGAGGCTCTTATCGTGTCATGCGCAACCAGAAAAGGGGAGGCTTGTACATTTGATGAGGAGGAGGTGGCGGATGAGCAGGAGGAATAACATAATGAGGACAGAGGAAGACGAGAAGGGACAGTAGCAGCAGGAATTGGAGCGGCAGGAGCAGGATAAGTAGAAGGACCAGTGGACGGCGGAGGAGGGGAAAGGAGCCAGGCGACAACGACGATGACCGATTCGGATCCGTCTCGGATTCACCAAATGTGGCCCGCGCTTGGGCGAGGGCACGTCTCTGAACGACGGGAGGAGTACGGCGCCAGTCCTGAAAGGAAGTCGGCGATGCAGAAGGAGCACCATTGTGAGACACCGCCCGCCGACACGTGTGGTGGTGGTGAGGAAAGGGAGGCGGAGGAGGTGGAGGAGAAGCAGTCGGATGCGGCTGTCACGAGGATGCCACTGAGAAGGCCGCGGCGCCCGAGACATACTCCAGAGCCGCTGGATCCCAGGGATCCCCGGTGTATCCTCACCCGAATGTATCCTCGTCCTGGCCTCGTCGTAAGGTGGAGGTGGTGGAGGAGAAGTAGGGGGGAAGATGCCGATGAGGAAGCCGTGGAGCGGGGGAGCAGAACAAGCAGCGGATGAGGCGGACGAGGAGGGTCGCGGGCGCGGCGATGCGGATTTGCCGGCGCTGGTCTCTGCGGATCCCGCGCTTGTTCGGGCAGGCCTGCTCGAGCAGCTGCCAGCCCCTGTCGCACAGGCGCGCGGCAGGCTTGCGCCGCGTTGACGCGGCGGCGACCCCAGCTAGGAGGCCACATGCGATTTCAACCGTCGACCCTCATTGTAAGGATGGGCAGTCATCCTAAGGGTACACTTGCATCCTTGCCTCCTCGGTCTATCCTTGGCGACTTTCGCTGGCCAGCCTCGTTCGAAAACTCCAAGGCCCTTGCATCCTTACCGCGCATCGTCATCATACGGTTTGACTGTGCCCCACCACCCCACCCTACGGTTTCTAAGGGGGGAGGTGGGGTTCAATTCGCTCGGGATGCCCCGAACGAATTGAGCCCCAACTCCCTCGTTAGAAATCGTGGGGTGGTGTGGCAGGGTTCGCATGTGGCCTCCCACCATCGCGGGCGCTCAAGCTCAAACGCCGCCAGTGGCCCGCAGTCGGCCGGCGCTGAGCGATCTTCGCCATACCTCTGTGGTATGCACGACATGTTCTTAGAACACTTCTGGCTGAGACTGTCCTGTTTTAACACCTCGGCAGGTTGTTCTGTTTTTGCTATTAGATGTTGTTGGGCTTCTAAGAACATGTCTTGGTAGGCCCATGGGAACGCGGGGACGGTCGGTCCCTGCTCAAGTCGGGAGCCTTGAGACGGGGGTCAATGCGAACGGGGGTCAGCCACGGCACCGAATCCTGCAGGATCCTGCGAAGACCCCCTCTGGCTGACGCGAGCCGTTCGTGGCCGCGAGGCGGCCGCACATCTTGGCCGACCCGGGTCTGCGAAGACCTGCGGTGCACTTTGTTTTTTTCTGCATTGCAGTTGTTGGTTTCCTGCTGACGGCGTTTACCGCTCCTACTAATGTTGCTTTCCTAGAGGCTCCAACTCGTAGGTAGTAGGGTCGCACTGGGATAATTGTTATTAGACATGGTTGGGCTTCTAAGAACATCTCTTGGTAGGCCCATGGGAACGCCGGGACGGTCGGTCCCTGCTCGAAGAACGACCCACTCGGCGCCAGGGCCCCAGGCCCCCGCCACGTCGCGGCGCGAGCCAGCCGCGGCAACCAAGGGCAGAGAGGCCGGAGATGCCTCCGCCTCCGCCGCCTCTTTGGGGCGTGCGCGGCCCCGACGCCAGGCATCGCTCGGACGTGGGCATTTTCCCTTCCGCGAGGACCATCGAGGAGCATCCTTGATCATTTGGCGAAAAAACCACGCACGAGACCGAAAACAACACAGGGAATGGACGTATGAGCGATGGCCAGCTCGGGTGCCGCACCGGGTGTTAGGATGCTTCAGCCTGCTGTAGCCTTGATCACCAGGAAGACTTTCGAGCACCAGACAAACAAGAGTACCGAAGCTCCAGGGTTCTCACGGGTCGGGCCCTGGGAGACACTCGCCCGGCACTGTTTCGACACTGCTTCGACACTCTTTCGACTTTTTTCCGGGTGCTCGAGATTATTTCTGGAATGTGGTCCTTAGCTCGGATGGGAACAACATAAACCGGGTGCCGAGTTTCCTGGCCCAGGGGCCGAAGCCGGTGGGCGTCACAGCAGTCCGCCAAGTTCGGGGGTTGCCACAGGTGCCCCTGGCTCGGGGTGTCCCCAGTTTCCCGCCCAATGTCGGAGCCCCTCGGGCCCTCGGGGCCTCGCGAGGATGCGGGCCTCCCTGGAAGCCCTGGTGGACACCTTGGGCCGGGGGCTCTGCTGGCAACGCCCAGCAGCTGGCGCGCATATCCGCGTCCGCTGGCCGAGCGTGTTTTTGACCCTCTGGGCCATAACGCGCGTTACACCCCCTCCCCGTCATCCCTTTTCCCATAAGGTAACACCCCCCCCCCGTCGTCGTCGTCGCCGTCGCCTTCGTCGTCGTCCTCGGTTTCGTCCTCGTCGTCGTCATCGTCGTTGTCGTCGTCGTCATCGTCGTCATCGTCGTCGTCATGGATGCCCCCCCCGTCCCCCATCCCCATAACTTAACGCTCCCCCTTTTCCACGCAGTGCGCCTCCGGCACTGCCATCGTGATGCTCGCACGCTGCTGCGATGCTTGCAGGCTACTTTAGCGTTCACCGTTGTGTCCGAGGGCCTCGCAGGACATGCAGGCGCTTCCAGAGGCCTCTGGAGATCATTTGGGGCCTCGGGAGACCTCTGTAGACTTTCAGAGGCGGCCGTCGTCGTCGTCGTCCTCGTCTTGGTGGTCGTCGTCGATGCTGTCGTCATCGTCGTTGTTGTTGCCGTCGTCATCGTCGTCGTCGTCGGCGGCGGCGTTGTGTTCGTCGTTCTTGTCCTTGTTGTCGTCGTCGTCGTCGCACTTCTCGTTCTCGTCGCGGTCGTTGTCGTCGTCGTTGTCGTCGTCGTCGCCGAGGGCCTCGAACGGCCTGCTGACGCCTGTTTCGGGCTCGAATCCCCCCCCTGTGAAACTCATCATTTCATGATCGGCCCCTCTCTCGCTTCTTGCTCCTCACCCTTCTCACTTCCTCTTTTTCTTCCTCTCTCTCTCTCGCCCACCCTCCCTCCCCCCTTGCCTCCCTCCCTCTCTTCCCCCCTTCTCTATCTCCCTCTCTCCCTCTCTCTGTCCTCCCGTGGACGGTACCTCCGCCAGGGCGGTGGCGATGGTAGTGATGGTGTTGGTGTTGGTGGTTGGGGGGGAAAGAAAACAAAACACATGTTTTAAACAAAAACAGTTTTTTGATTTCTCTTTTTTTTGTTGCCCCCCCTTCCCGACCACCAGTCGACCACCACCAGCGGCACTGGCCGCAAGGGAGCGGTGCCATGCTTGCACGGTGCCGCGCCGTTCTGGGGTGTTTGGAGCACCAAAGGGGCTCTCGGGGCAGTGAGATGCCAACATACCGCGCTGCAGTGCGATCGCATCGCATTTCCTTGCATCCGTATTGCATTGGCTCGTCATTACGATCGCATCGACTTGATTGGGATTGTCATAGCATCCGCATTGTCGCACTGCCGCATTGTAGCAGAAGTAGACCATTACTGTAGTGCTCGAGCGCAGAAGTAGTATCCTCGAACTCCTTAGTGTTGCAGCGGTAGTGATGTAGGAAGAGCGCTGTACGATTGATGAGTCGTGCTGTACTGTTGTAACAGAGGCACTATAGAAACAATACTCAAGTACAGCATTCGTATGTGCAGTACGTTACTCTCGCCGGCAGTGAGTGTACTGGAGGACGGTAGTATGCTACTCCCATGCCGTAGTATCGCAGCATTGTTGTAGTACTATATTGTAGTGTTGCCGAGGTGGTACTGTACTAGTCGTAGTCAATATTGTAGTAGTCGTAGTAGTAGTAGTAGTAGTAGTAGTAGTAGTAGTAGTAGTAGTAGTAGTAGTAGTAGTACACTAGTACTGTACTGGTGGTAGTTCGAAACCGAGCTAAGCGAGCTATCGTTTCGCATGAATGAAGTGGCTGCACCGTAGTAGGCCTGTAGTTGCAGTGGCAGTAGCCCGGCCTTCAGTCAAGATCATTATCTAGTCCTTTCTGTAGCATTTTTTCTCTTTTTTTTTTTTTTTTTTTTTTTTTTTTTTTTTTTTTTTTTTCTTTTTTTTTTTTTTTTTTTTTTTTTTTTTTTTTTATTTTTTTTTTTTTTTTGTCTTTTTTTTTTTTTTTTTTTTTATTTTCTTTTTTTTTTTTTCTTTTTTTTTCTTCTTTTTTTTTTTTTCTTTTTTTTTTTTTTTTTTTTTTTTTTTTTTTTTTTTTTTTTTTTTCATTTTTCTGTAGCAGCCGCACAGCAATATTGTAGCAGAAGTGGCCCGCTATTGAAGTAGTCGAGCACAGCAGCAGCACCCCCGAATTGTAATGGTTTAGTGGTAGTGCTGTAAGGAAAGTGGTGTACCACTGTGGAACAGTGCTGTATCTTAGCAGTGGCATTGTAGAAGCAGCAATCTAGTACAGCATCCGTATGAACGGTACTGTACGATTGCCTGCAGTGGGAGTGCTACAGTTCTGCAGTACGAATTGCCCAATGCCGTATTGTCTCAACACGGTTGTAGCATTCCAATATTGTAGTGATGCAGTGGTGACAATGTCCTAGTCGTAGCGCAGCACTGGAGCAGTAGCACTAGTGTTGCTCTAGTACTGTATTGGTTGGACTTTGATACCACGCTGGGCCAACAGTCGGTTTGCATTAATGAAGTGGCAGCGCTGCAGTAGTCCTGTAGTGCTGCCGTGGTAGTACGCAGGTATTGTTGTAAAGTTTATGTTCCAGTACTTGCTGTAGTAGTCGCAGTGTAACTATGTGGTGGAAGTGGTCCACTACTGTAGCACGCGAGAACAATACTTGCACCCTCGGACTGTAGTGGCTGAGTGGTAGCACTGCGCGAAACGTGGTGTACTATTGTGGAATAGTGCTGTATTGTAGTAGTGGCAGTGTAGAGGCAGGATTCTTAGTACAGGTTTCGTATGAGCAGCACCCGACGGTTACCTGCAGTGAATGGAATACTGTAGTAGGAATTGCCCAATGCCGCATGATCGCAGCATGGTTGTAGTACCCTAGTACTGTAGTGCTGTAGTGGTGACGCTGTGATATTCGTAGTACATCACGGGGGCAGCAGCGCTGCACAACTGGTATTGTAGTACTGTGCGAGTTGTATTCTGAAGCTGGCAGGCGTGGTAGTGGAGCTCTGTCATTGGAGTACTCGAATACGGTAGCCGTGCCCTAGTACTGTAGTGCCTTCGTAGTATCGTTTTTTTGTCGCATTCTGTGGAAGTCGATGTGATACCCGGTACAGTAGTAGGGGTAAACGTGTATAGGTGGCTGGAGGAGCAGCACAGCATTTCAATGCTTCAGTGTGGCAGCAGTATACGATGGCCGAGCTACTGTAATCCTAATAGTGTTGTGGGGAATCGTGGTACCATAGTATCGAAATTGTATGACTGTTGTCGCAATGTGGTAGTCGTATGACACGAGCACTGTAGTAGCACTGGCAGGGCTGAGGCTCAGGCTAAACGTTGGCCGAGGCTGAGGCTAGGCGTGGGACGAGGCGTAGGCTGAGGCTCAGACTGAGGCTGAGGCTAGGCTGGAGCTTAGGATGGGTTCGGCTGGGATGGCTCAGGCTGATGCTTCGGCTAGGCGGAGGCTGGTGCTTAGGCTTAGGCCGAGGTTCAGGCCAGGTTGAAGCTTAGGCTGAGGCTTCGGCTTAGGCTAGGCAGAGGCTGAGGCTAGAGGCTGAGGCATCGGTTAGGCTTCGGCTAAAGTTTGGCTCGGGTTTCAGCTAGGCTAGGCTCAGGCTTAGGCTAGGCTTAGGCTGATGTTCAAGCGAGAGAGAAACAGAGAGAGAGAGAGAAAGAGATGGACAGAGAGGAACAGACAGAGACAGAGACAGACAGAGAGAGAACAACAAAAGATAGGCAACAAGAAAAGACAGAGAGAGACACGCATACCTTAGCGAAGGACCCAACCATATGCACCTGTGAGTAACGCTTTGTGCGTGCCGCTTGCGGTGGGGTTGCCTATAGGGTCACGAAACGCGTGAGGGGCGTGCCGTAATGGGTGGGGGCGACGCACGCGGGCGGTGTCAGTGGGGCAGTCGGTGGGGCTCCCTATGAGCCACGAGACGCTGTGCTGGGCGTGGCGGAGCGCTGTGTTGGTCGGGGGAGACGCGCGCAGGCTGTGCCAGTGGAGTCTTCCTGTGGAGTTCCCTGCAGGGCCGCGAATCGCTGTGCATAGTAGTGGCCGACGCGCGCGTGCCAGCGGGGGTTTCGGTGGGCCCCCTATGGGGCCACGAAGCGCTGTGCTGGGAAGGGGGGGCGCATGCAGGCGGTGCCACTGGGGCCTTCGGTCGAGTTCCATATGGACCCACGAAGCGTTGTGCCGGGTGGGGGGTCGCATGCGGGCGGGCCTCTGGACCTCCCTACGTGGCCACGGAGCGCTTTGCCGGGTGGGGCGGGGGCGGGGGGCGCACGCGGGCGGTGCCATTGGAGCCTGGTGGAGCTCCCAATCAATGGGGCCACGAAATGGAGTATTGTGTGGTCGGCGACGCACGCGGGCGGTGCAAATGGGGTCTTTCTGTGGAGTTCCCTATGCGCCCACGAAGCGATGTTCTGGATGGTGGCTGACGCATGCGGGCGGTCCCACTGGGACCTTCGGCAGAGCCCCCTTATGGGGCCACGAAGCGCTGCGCTGGGTGGTGGCTGACGCATGCGGGCGACGCCAGTAGGGCCCTCAGTGGACCTCCCGTTGGGGCCACG